TGAGCAATGTTTTATTGTTTTCATTGTTCAAGTCTTTCACCTTCTTGGCTTAGTTAATTCCTGATTATTTTATTTCTTTCAGTGCTTTTGTAAATGGAATCATTTCAAAATTTTTTCAGATTGTTAACTGTTAGAGTATAGAAACGCAACCTGTTTTCCTGTGTGCTGCATCCTCCTTTGTTCTGATTTGTCAGTGCCCACCTCTCATTTTCCAGAGTCTCCTCTCTTCATCAGTTCAGGTGTATTCCTCAATGTCTTTACCTGTTTGTTCTCTTTGGAGAGGGAATGAGACAGAGTTGTGGTGGGAAGATGTGAAAATGTGATTCTCCAAGAGATTTGGATTTTTTTCTCACTTCAGTCTTCTAAGTCTTGTACATGAAAATCCACATTCTTCACCAAGGCCAACAAGTTATATTTGATAAGTCTTTTTGCCAGTTCTTTCAACACCATCTGCAGACACACTGTCTTCCTGGTCTGAGTTTCTGACCATCCTTTGGCCTTTGTTGTGTGTTATATCTAGATGTTTTCTCTTACATTTTTCTTGTTGCTGAGACAAAATACCCAACATCCAAAATTAAGGAAGGAAAAGTTTATTTAGCTCACAGTTTGTGGAGGTTTCAGTTCATAGTCAGCTGGCTCCAAAGTAGGGTAGAATGGCACAGTGGCAACACTTCCAGGTGACAGAAGATAGCAAAAGTAACAAGAAAAATAGGGGAAAGAGCAATTTTCTTCCCTTATATTGTAAACAGGCTACCCCCCACCTAGGGCAGGTATAGCAATCACACCATCTCTGTGCCTCCTCTTGCACAGGTTCAGGATATTTTCACAAAGGGGACCCCGGCTCCCTGCTGAGTCACTTAGTTAAACTCCTAAACTTCTCAAGTTGACACAGCGTATCAATCAAAACAATCCACCCCTTGTCAATTTGGCAACCAGAGGCATTTCTTTAAAATAGTTTCTGGATACAAAGACACACTTATTCTTATCATTTTACAGCTTGAATGTTATAACACAGGTTTAAAAATCCTTAAGAGCCAGCACTCAAGAGGCTGAGACAGGAAGATCATTGTGAGTTTGAGGACAGCCTGGGCTGCAAAGTGAGCTCACAGCCTGCCTGAACTGCATAGAGAGATCCTGCCTCAGAGAGAGAGAGAGAGAGAGAGAGAGAGAGAGAGAGAGAGAGAGAGAGAGAGAGAGGAGAGAGAACACCAGTATTAAGTCTATCAACATTATAAACATTATATGATATTAGAACCATGAAATTTTGTCCCTGGCCCCAAGGACTCATGTATGTTCCCTCATGCAAACAGCATTTAGTCCATCTGCAAGAGTTGTCAAAGTCCTAACAGTTTTAGTATTCTTGAAATGTCCAAGTTCAAAGTCTTCTCTGAGACTTAAGGCAAACTCTTAGCTACAAGACCTTGTGTGAATGAAAATAAAGTTAAATACTTCCAACCTGCAGTGGCACAAGATAAGTATTCTCATTCCAAAATTTTCAAACATGGGACTATAAAGGATTGGGACCAAAGCAAGTAAAAAATCCAGCAGGATAATCATTAAATCTTGTAGTTCCATGTGAACCATTTGACACGATCTGTGGCAAATTGTAAGCTCCAAAGGGCTTGAGTGACTCCACCCCTATCCTCCTTCCACTGATACGTCTAGTGGTTGTAGCTTCCATTGTGTCTCTCTTGGGCCCACTTTGCTCCCTCATTGCAGCTTTCTTTGAATGATCCATGTTCCTGGCTTTTTCAAACTTTTGGGGTCTCTGCTGCACCTTTGGCTTCATCCTCACGGCTTCATATACTGCCTTGTTGGGAGCACACTGTCTAGAATTGAAGTGAAAATCTTTTTAACCATAACTCTTACATTTGGCATATACCTAAAACCAGCACTACATGGATGATAGTAAGGTCTGCTGTCAGTTGGGGCAATAGCCAGGCTGCCATGTCTCTTGGCTGTAGGGGTCAAGAACCTGGATCTCTGGGCACTCTGATCCAATTCTGAGGAATAAATTTTCTATGCTTCTGCCATTCTGGCACATAACATTCTGTGGTTTTCTCCTCAAAGCAAAGTCTTTCACTTTTGATGTTTTGAGGCTTCAGGTGAAGACTTGCTGCTTTTTGTGATGCTTTCAGGCCATCTCTTATATTCTCTTGTTTCTTCTCAGCAATTGAGATTTCTTCAGCTCTATCTTTATAGTCCACTGCTTTATTGGGGCTTTCTTTTTAGCCAAACTCACAATGTTTTAAATCATCCTGTTGAGCTCTTTGTTCTTGATTTGCAGCATAAATCTGGTTAAAAGTCTCCAACAATAGCCATGCAATGTATCAACATTCAACTACCAGATTAACTAGTCCACTGCCTTTAATCTTAGTCTCAGGTAAAGTGTCTGAACATGAGCAAAAAGCAGACAAACTTTTTGGCAAGCCATAACATTCATCACGTGGAATCTAGCATCCAATATAGTCCTTCCCAGCAGAAATCTTCGTAGCCTGGTCTTTATTGGTAGAATTTATATCAGCCTTCTGGTCTTCTGAACTCTGACCAGAATCTCCCATACAGAATAGCATAAGGCATTCCAGTACTACTTTTTCAGACAACAACTCAGAACCTTTCCAAACTCCTCCCATTGACCATTCTCAAAGGCTCTTGAATCACATGGTCCAGTACAGTCACAGCAATGACCCCACTTCTTTGGTATCAAGTTCTGTATTAGTTACTTTTCTCTTGTTGTTGAGACAAAATACTCACCATCCCAAATTAAGGAAGGGAAGATTTATTTAGCTCAAAGTTTGTGAAGGTTTCAGTCTGTAATCAGCTGGCTCCAAGGCAAGGTGGCATGGCAGAGGGGAAACGCTTTGACATGGTAGAAGACAGCAAAAGCAGCAAGAGCAAAAATTGGGATGAACAAGCTTCTTTTTCTCCCTTATATTGTCAGCAGGCCAGTCTGCCTCCCCTACTCAGGGAAGTTGTAGCAATCACATCATCTTTGTGCCTTCCTCTTTCACAGGATGAGGATATTTAAAAAGTGAAGACCCTGGTCCCCTCCTGAGTTCCTTAGTTATACTTCTAAACTTTGCAAGTTGCCACAATGGGCCAACCATTACATCCTCATAGGTGAGAATTCTGAGAGGTGGCTGGATTATGAGTGTGTGATATTAGATTAAGGGTGAGTGATACTAGATTAGTCCACAGATTGAATTAGTGTTGTTCTGGGTTTGATGGCATTAATCAATAACTTTGTGGCCTTGATGGAATAAATGGGAAGTAGAGGTTCATTGCTGCTGCCTCCTGCTTACCCTGCCATGGTCTGTGTTTCTTCTGCCATGCCCTTCTGCTGGGCCACCATGCTGTGGAGCCAGTCAACTAGGCACTGAAACCTCTATGAACTGTCAGCTAAAACAAAACTTCCTTTTCTCATTTTGGATGTTGGGTATTTGTTCCAGCAATGAAGAAAAAAACCTTAATTACAGCCTTCCTATGGATGTGAACTTGGTGGTATTCTTAGGGATACTGTGGACTCTACATCATTTGATGTTAGGCCTCTGAGCAAAAATTGAACCATCAGTCACACTGTCCTATCCACTCTATACAACACAGATACCGGGATTTTTCAGAGGTTAAGGATAACTGGTTTTTACTTTATTGTTTAAGTACATCTTTGATATCATTTAACTAAATTTGGGTGTTTATTTTTAACAGAAGATAGAAATTCATGGTTACAACTTTTTCTCTTTCGAAATAATGTTGCATGGAATATTTTTTTGAACTGTTGTCTATTTCCTTTCATTTCCATTTTTATTCACTTCCCAAATGGAATGCAGTATGTTAACTTTTATAAAAAGGTTGTTAATGCTACCTAGAATAATTTTTTTTTAGTAAGAAAATAGTTCATTTTCAGACTTGGATGGGATAATAGGGTTAATTATGGCTTAAATCCTTATTTTTCTGAGGCCAAAGAATTAAGTATTTAATGTCAGAAAGCCAGCGACAGGTCTTGTACCTTAACCTAGAACAAATCCTGTGTTCTTTCTACCCTAACATTTAAAAAAATTTTTATTGATAGAAAAAAATTGATAGCTCCAGGAAAAGACATGTCATAAAAATGGAAAGAAATTTAAGTGTTTTTAGTGATCTCTCTTTCCAAGTAATATGTATCAGTGGCCTTTTTATATAACGTCTCATTTAATCCCTATGAAAAATTTATTGCCTTCACATTTTGCAAGTGGGGAACCTGAAACTTACACAATTTAGGTAGCAGCCAGTAAGTGCTTGGCTAGGATTTGAACCTGGGTTTTTCTTCTCCTAAAGTCTTGGTTCTGGGGCTTGGCCTCTTGTTCTTCTTCTTTAAGTAGACTTGCATATATCTGAGTAACAACGAGATGCTTAATTTGAGTTTATAAAATACTTATTGCTTGTATTTATGACAAACTGTCAACTGTCACAAGCATAACATGAAAAGCTGTCTGCATTCCATATCAGAAAACCTGAGTTCATTGGATCCAGGTGCTGCTACCATGACCCACAGTTCTGACAGTGACCATCTCTCCACAAAGACGTTTTGGCTTCCTTCTCTGGTCAGACACTGCACTACCCAGCATCAGAGAACCTTTTAGTTTAGTTTCCTCCTGCTGTGGAGAGTTGAGCACTGGCTCTGAAGTCACAGAATTAGCTTAAATTCTGACTCTTCTAGTGGGATCTTGGGCGGGGTACTTAGCTCCCCAAGAATGGAATGGGAATATGACTAATCTCACAGTATTGTTATGAGAAAATACTTGAAAGTGTAGCACATGGTAGGCATTCAGTAAATGTAAATATATTTTATACTGTAAAATACCATGTAAGTGTAAATGTATTTTATACTGTAAAGTATTGTGTAAATGTAAGGAAGTTTTACTTAACTGCAGTATAATAATTTCTATACTACCATATATGCAATGGAAACAATTCTCCATTATATTTTATACTTTTATCCATTATTTATTTTGCCCTGTCAGAGGCCAGCAGAAATAGTTGATGAAGAAGAAGACGGAGAGAAAGCAGATGTGGATGCAGAGCAGAAAGAACATCCTTCCAGGGTGAGTGATGGAGCTGCAGATGAAGGAGGCAGGGATGCTCCTGACACCCCAGAGCACCACGAGGAGGAGGCCAGTCCTGTCCATGTAAATGGAGGAACTGATGAAGAAAATGGAGAGGAGTTAGGCCACATTAAAAGTGAGCTTCAGCCAGCAGTGAATGAGGAACAGAAGTCTCCAGGACCTGACAGTGGACAGGATGAGGTCAGTATTTCTATTGCTTTTGCTATTTGTGCAAAAATATATGTGTGAAACTCTACTACTTAGACCACTATAGAAAGATCTAGTACTACCTAATTAATTTCAATTTCTACTTACTTCAATCAGGTAACAACTATGACTGTCAACCTAGCTGACAGTCCATGTCTGTCACTCTGTCATCCACCCACACATCTTAGTGTAGACAAATTGCCTACCTTAGTGTAGACAATTTTTATAGGTTTCTTTAAGAATATATACAATAAAAGAGAGCGATACAACAGTACAAAGAAGTTAAAACCAGGGAAGATCAAACCAGAAAAGGATATGAAGAGCAGTGAGACCTAGACATGGTATAAAAACCATCATCTCCATTATTAGTGACTTCTTTGCTCCCCAGAAGAATTGTCTAGTTTGTTTAGTCCACTTCAAATGGATTTATTGAATCAAGCTCTCAGCACACTGGGTACTGTTTCATTTAGAGAAATACAGGAGAGAAGAACAAATTGAACAATGGCAAAATGCAAAATGTTCTTGTGACCAGGTTTTAGTAACCAGTACAAAGTTACCTGTAATCCACTGTACAACTTGTACAAAACATTCTTTACATCTAAATGAAACTTCTCAGTGTGTCTCTCATGTCATCTTTACTCAAAGTGACATAATCAGAGTCCTATTTTGTAACACTTTCCTCATATGTAGCTCTACATTGTCCTCAGTGTCATTTATAGGACCACTTCAAAGTAGACTTTTAGATAGTAAATAGGACTAGATAGGAAGATCCTTGTGTGCTTTTTTTTTTTTTTTTTGAGTTTCTTTTTTTTTAAAATTTTATTTAAGGAGAAAAGAAAAAAAAGCAGAGAAAGGGTACAAGTTATACAGATTTGCAGAAAAAAAAATGAACAGTAGGAAATCACTAGTTAATGGATTACATATTGTCATCTTAGAAATAATTGTTCAAGTCACAAAATTAAAGCTTGTAAAGTGGACATTCCATCAATGATACTGCAAACAGTTCTGTTCAATGATCCAATAAAACTCTGTGATATCATATTCTATCTTATACACTTAAATATACATGCAGTTATATAGTTTAGAGTACTTTCTTTTCCTCTCTTTTGTACAATGACTATTACACATTTTGGGTTTCATTGCTCTCACGGTTCTTATTACTTTTTTGGAAGAGAGTAAAACCAAATGTGACATAACAGAACAGAATCGGTCAAGGCAAAAGGGTGGACATAATAGATAATGTGAAAACATAATACAAGGTGATCAATAATGGTTACCATAATGCCTCTCGCTATCTCTAATAGAATTGCCTATACCATTAGTTTTAATACAATTGAACAAAACAGTAAAGAACAAAACCGACAAAACCAAACCATTGGAGACATTGTAGGTCTTCAAAAGTAGAGAAAAGTCAACGAGAATGGGCGTTATAATGAATCTCATTATCTTCACAGCTGATGCCTAAATTTTCGAACCTGATACTATCCAGCAAAACAGAATAGGGGAACATCAGTTAAAAACCAGATGGTGAGAGTAATACAGGGCTTTAAATCAAGGTAATGGAAAGTCAAAGTGGGTTACTATAATATATCCTGCTATTTTTTTCCTTTAATTAAAAGGATAAAAATTTTTTAAAAAGTATTAAAAAAGTAAATAATGGAGTGGAGATTGAGATAAAAGAGGGCATAACAATGAAACAGCACAGATCAAAACATAACCATTTAAGCAGAATAGTGTTTCACCACCAGATAATCCTGACCTAAAAGTAGTTACCATATTGTCTCTTTCCTTGAAATCCTTGAGTACAACTTCGTATACTGTAGCATTAAGTATATCAAAACAATGTAAAACCATTTAAGAGAATGACAGCATTACAGAGTATTTAGAATCGACTAACAGAAAATGAATAATGGTTTCTGTATAATCCTTGTGTGCTTTTATCTGATGGTCTGGTGTAATTCAGCATGTGATTTAGGGAGATTTATAGAAATAAATCTATGATTTTTCCATCAGTGTAGCTTTTGATAGTTTTATTATTTGCAGCAACATGGATAAGGACATTATATTAAGTGTAACAATCCAGACACAGAAAAATAAACACTTCATGATATCATTTACATGTGGAATCTAGGAAAGTTGAAATTCGTAGAAGCAGAGTACACCGATGGTTACCGGGGCCCAGTGAAGAGGTTCGTCAAATGATACGCAAGTTCAAGTAGATCTAGAGTGTATCCATGGTGACAATGGATTGTATAGTAGCAACTCAGCAAGAGAGGAGATTTTACATTTTCACTAGGGAAGTTGGCAGTGTGTGAGTGGTGTATACGGTAACTCAATTTAGCCAGTCCATGTCACGCACATATTTCAAAACATCGTATTACATGCCATAAATATGTATAATTTTATTTGCCAATGAAAAGAAATTAATTTTAAAAGTAAAGGAGAAAAAATATGCTTTTGATAGCAATTGAGCCTCAGTGAAATACAGGTTATGTGGCTTGAGAAGGCCTGTGGCACAGGACTCCATGGCTTGTAATGAGAAAAATACAGATTCTTGGGTGTTCGCATGCACAAGGACCTGATAAGTAACTAGTTAGGGATTTTCAAGACAATGCAAGTCCCTGAGCAGAGAAGTTGCTCATATAGAGATTTGTCTTAATTGACTCATCTCTGTTTTGCAGTGATGATCTGTTTTATTTTTGTTCCCCTGGATGCATTGGTATAGCTATGCTTTAAGCATATCAAATATATGAGCATGCACATTTATGTGAATTATAGATTAACAATTAACTTTTGCAAAAGGATTCTGTAAAGATTGTGTTCCATGTGATAGTTCTTGTGCAAAGTGAGAAATGATTACAGAAATGGCAGGTAACACAAAGCAAATACACAGTGAACACCTGACATTGATTGAGGTTGCGAAGTTGTATTCTAGTCAAGATACCATTTGAGATGCTTCACAAGATAATATGAAATAGGACATAATTCCAGGAATAGGAATATCGATAGACAGATATGTACATTTTTTTCTTTTCTTTGAAATTTAAGTCATGGGATCATGGCTGTGGGATTTGGGGGAGCTGGAGCTGCTCCTGTCCTCTCAGTTGGATCTTTTGGCCCAGTGGAGTATCCAGCATTGCAGGGAGCATAGCTTAAGCACCATCTGATTTCATCCTCATCAGTTCTCAGCCTAATAGAGAAAGACAAATTATAAATGAGACACTGTAGCTAATAAGATACGGCAGAACAAGCGGCAGAACAAATGCTGCTGTGGGAGAAGAGCAGCCTCTGCATTTGATGGTCTGCCCTGCTCTTCGAGCACGTGGGTACCACATTCAGCACGAGAAAACCAGAAGAGGGAGCAGCATGCTGGGTTAATGAGGCATGAGGGCATTTTTCTTCCCTTATCTCTGAAATGCTCCACGGAAAAGTATAAATGTGCTTTTGAAAATGAAGAGCTCAAAGGGAAATTCAGAAAAGAATTGAGAAAAATAAAGCCTGCAGTATAAGGAAGGAATCTGAGCTTTGAAAACACATAGTGGATGATGTCCCAGAAAAGGGTTTCTGTACAAGTAAAGGGTCAAGCATGGTGAGTCCACGAGGCAAATGGAACACAAGTGGGCTATTTTAGTTGAATGCTTATATTATGAGATAGAACACTGAGTAATTTTCTTCTTTGTGTATTTTGTTACCCTTGTAACCTAAAGAGCTAAGTATCTTTGTTGTGTCCTATTTCCCTCCAGGCTGGTTTAGACCCTCAAGGACCGCCAAGACCAGAAGTAAAAATCACCAGTCCTCAAGAAAATGAAAACAATGAACAAAATAAGGACTATGCTGTTGTTGCATAGATGATTTTTAAAAAGCGAGTCTATGGATTATAAGAGAATGAAGGTTGTGATACTTGAATACTAAGCATGGATATTGCTAAAACATAAAATGACAACATGATTGAATGCTACCTGTTGAATTTAAAAACAGAAGCCCGAGGGAAAGACTAGATAACTTCTAGCAGATACTAAAGGAGAATGACTTATTTCTGTGGCATGTGTTTTTGACAGTTGAAGACTTAAGTAAAAAGGATAGAAGAGAACTTGCCCTGGAAGATAATTGGTCATTTATATTTTTAACCATAAAAAATAGAATCATTCCTAGTGCATACTTTAGAAGAAGATTATTCAGTAGCAGTTTGCTGTAAAGCATTTATCTAAGATAGCATAGAATTTTAAAGAACTGCTAACAGGACAGCATATGTTATTTTCTTAAAGCAATAAACTTGAATGAACAAGTTGCAGTTTAGTTTCAGTGGTAATTTGCAGATAGCAATAGATAAAAATATTTCTATAACTTGTCCACATTCCTTTCCTCTTTTCTCTTTAGCTGAAATCCACCTTATATGAGCTAGGAAGACAACATAGTGTTCGTGTTGGCTAGAGGAAAAATTCTTGCAGAGGACTAGTAGCTAATGTCACCCTTCCCTGAAGAGTTTCCAAGCTCCACCTTAGAGCTGCAAGAGCACACACTCGAGAAGCAGGATAAAGGAACCCCCAGTCCTAGTACTGGCTGGCTGGTTTGCAAATTTTAGAAATGCTACGGGTTTTCATAGATCCATTCTATTTGTACCAATCATTTTAAAGAGAGCAACATAAGGCAAAGACTAGATAACTTCTAACTAGATATCCTTTGCTTTCCTCTAATGTTCTTGTAATAGAATACTTGATAATGGTTATTCCAGAGATTGAATTTTCCTCAGGTTTTTTAAACAGAAAAAAGGCAACATATTAAGAAGAGGGAAAAGGGCCGTAAGAGGAGTTTGTTCCCGTCCAACTTCACTAGCTTTATGCTTTATTTCCATGAGGGTTATCTTGCGAAATTTTTGCCTCTGGAGATGTCAGCACTTACTTTCATAGTTGGTGATATTTAATCATTCCAGTAGATTCCTTCTTCTGTAATTTAAAGCTCTCTGATAGAAATTGGTGAAAACATTTTAAAATTTGTCATAAAGAAACCAGTTCCTGATTGTCACTTTGTAGACTGATTGATAATTTACTTTTGAGGTATATATGGGAAAAATGTAATTGCATTAACTTGGTGATTATTAGTAGATCTTTATCATTCTGCAATGCAGAAATAATATATTTTTCTCACCTTAAAGAATATATTTTAATTATGTAGAATTTATATGGAAATTTTAACTTTTAGTACTTTTATAAGATTTATTATTAATCATAAACTTAAAAGACTTTTCCTCCTCCAGGTTTCATAGCCAGCTTTTGAAATCAAAACAGTTGGTGGTTATATAAAGCACAAAACAAAGCTATAGAAAATAGGTATATTTTTCCTAACAGCTATTTTAATGTTTTACACAAGTAGGAAGTATGAGTAGAGATTGTAATGTAACAGTATTTGAAAGGCATAACGATTTGTTAATCTAGGAAATCAACTGTGAGCATGATATTTCTCATAGAAAATCTAGATTCTGCTTTCTGCCAGCAGACTTACACTTTCAAATGGGCAACAGGAAGCACTGTGTACCACAAGCAGCCATCTTGTATAGAGTGAGAAATAGACCAGCTGGACTTTTAGTGTTAAATTCCAGTGCTGCTATTGATCTGTCTTTAGGGATTTTAAACAGTTTATAAACATAAATGGTTAAGTATAAGGAATATTAGCTGTCTCCAGGTGATTCTTCTTTTTTCTTTTTTGGTCTTTTTTTTTTCAGTACTGGGGATCGAACTCACAACTACACAGTTGCAAGGCAGGCGCTTACGCCACTGAGCTAAATCCCCAACCCTGATTCTTCCTTTTCTTTAATGAACAGTTTTCTACTTTCTCTTTTCTCCTTTCATAATTTCCCCTTTTTTCCTTCTTGTTCTTTTCTTAATTAATAATAAATCTTAGGTTGTAAGGAACTCCTGATGAGTCATCATTTTAATGAATTACAACATTGATGTCTTACAGGAAAATAAAATTTGAAATTTGAATTCAAGAAGTTAATAGGCCACAAGAATTAGGTCAAAAATTTTAAATGATGGATGTGTTGTTTTCTTGTTTGTACATGTTGTAATACCTGTTGCTGGGAAGAAATTGTGACCACCTACAATGAGCTAATGAGAAACAATATGCTACTTTAAAATAAGTTGCAAGCATATCACTGCAACTATAAATAAATGACATAGGTAACCCAAGCAAACAAGAAATCATGTACAGAGAATTACATTGTGGACAACACTTGGGAGATGACTTTGTCATAAATGATGAAAGCCAATTCATGCCCCCAGTGTTGCAGTTTTCTCTGAGGAAATGTAGTCTCTGTGGGAGGCTGGCTGGCAGATCTGGGAACCATTTATGTGAGATGATGGAGAGATCTTGGTTAGGCTTCAGGTATTGCTTTATATAGAAAAGGTGCTATGTAAAACTTATGTTGCCATCACATAATAACCAATATAATGCTTTGAGACATTAGTTTTTGTGATGTTGTATATGTAGGTTTCCTAGTTTTAATTTTGTATAACTACCTTATTAAGTTTATTCGGATTTTTAAGGCACTTATAATCAACTGGGTTGTCAGCAGAAATGGGACATTAGGAATTTTGCAGAACAAATAAAAGAAGATTATGACTAAAGACATTTTCAGGCTGCAAATATGTTACTTCAGGCTGTTGGTTTAGCTTCTGTGAAAGTTGTTATTGAGTGCCCACTGACTTCCAGTTATAAAATATGATACCATCACTAGGGAAAGCTTTTACTCATTGGTTTTTCTCTGTGTTCATAGAATGACTTTTTATTTGATTTTTTTCCTTAGCATTTTTTGGGACTATGATGAAGCCAGGCTCACAGGAAGGGTACAATCTTTCCTTCCCTCTTCTTTTATTCTGAAGGTGATCATTCCTGCTCTGTGGGTAAAACTAAGCCATCTCATATATATGACTCAGATTGGTCAGGTGCCAGTCAGTTGGGAAGCTAGATCAATTAATGTGAAATTATTAATATTAACACTTCCTTTACCTATTAAACAACTCTCCTAAACAGTTAGCTTCAAACTTTGTTTGCCCAAGACGTGGCAAAAGCAAAGTTATATATGTAGAATAATTGCTGAACAGAAAGCATCACATCAGAAGGTTTGCCAAGCTGTACAGAAATGTAATGCATAGGTGAATATCCAGTACTTACATGGGTGTGCATACACAATTTAAACATTAAAAACTCCTCTTTAAGCACAGCATTATTAATAGAGTACAGTTCTTTGAGTTGAAGTTGAAAGAAGCAGTGTGTAAAAATATGGAGCAAAACACTAAGAAATGACACATATTATGGTGCTTTAAATATTAAAAAATTAAATTAAAAACATTTAATTTTTTTCTCAAAATAAGAGTTATCAGCATTTTAGTGAAAAAATGCATTTTAGGAAGAGATGTTAAAATATATTTAAAGTTTCACTTAAAAATAGACATACCTACTTTTTCTCTGAGGTGATTTCAGAGCAGGTTCTGGCACACAGAGCACAGCATACTTTAGATGCAAAATATTTCATACCAGCACAGGTCCTATCAAAAAGCTAATCACTGCTGGTGAATGTATGTGTGTGTGTGCATAACTTACCTGAAAATATCTGGAACTCTTCTTGGTCCTAAGTAGCCAGGTGCACCACAAATAGATTGAGTTGGTCCATTAGTTTATATAACAGTGCAGGAACAGTTTAGCTTTCTTGTGTGAATGCAGTGTCTTGGATTGGAATCTTTTTTTTTAAAGGTTAACTTATTTTTCACTGGCAATAAGTGATGCAGTTCTTTATTACTGAATATAAGTTTTATAAATATCACAAGATTTTTCCTTTAAAAACTCTTGTGTGGGGATGGGTCTGCATTTTATTCTTCCCACAGAAAACTCTTGTAGTCTTTCCTATGAAGTTTGAGTGACAGATGAAGAATGAAAGGGTCCCTATGTGTTGATGAAGAAAAATAATATTACTTTTGATGAGGCATAACATCTGGAGGAGAAGAGGGAGAAGGAAAGAATTTAAAAATGTCTGGATAACAATAAAGAATTTATGAAATCAGGAGGTAACTAATGGAACTCCATTGACTTATGCCAACAGTGATTTAGCTTTAGTCTTTGAATGGGATTAAATGAATTCTCTGCAGCTTCATCAGTTTGAATCATATAGTGTAAATGAGTGTTTCAGTTATTGCCACAAATACAATGGTATATGGGAAAAGGGAGGGACTGTAGTTGATTTTGGAAGTTTGGAGAAAGCCTATTTTGTAGTTTCACTCTATTGTTTGCCTTGTATCTTAAATCTTTAATATGTACAATAATACTGTGTAATTATTGATTTTATAAGTGAAGATTAAGTTGAGCTCATTTTTTATAGGATTTGTTATGTTTAGAATGTCTGCTCATAAACAAAATTATTTTTATATCAAATTATAAGCATTTAGGTTTTACTTCCATATCAGTGCATGCACTAAGTTGCAAAAGTTTACTGTATCTTGTGAGTAAATAGATCTGCATTTTATGTAATTAAAATGTGCTTGGTTTATGGTTTTTTTTATGATGTGTTGCTCATATTTCATGTATTCTTTTCATGGTATTTCTCATGAACACAATAGAAACATTTGAGTTATGTGGAAATGTAGTGCATTAAAAGATACTTGTTTTTATTTAGCAGAAATGAGTCATGTGCAAATGTAGTACATTAAAAGATACTTGTTTTTATTTAGCAGAAATGAAGCTTCATTATGTATTTTTTAGTTTCATATACATGTTGTTTATTTGATAAAAATCAGATATATTTGAACATTATTTCTTTTATGAAACATTCTTATGCAAACACAGGTCCAAATTTTTAAGATAAATAAAGGAATCTGTAAAAACAGACACTAGATCATATACATTGCACACATTTTATGTACATAAATTCCTGGGAATAAATTCAAAATTTTACAAAGGATTTGGCTAACATTCTGCATCAGTTTGTAAGATACTCACCTCTTTTATTCTACTGAGTTTAAATAGTTTTGTTTTCCCTTCCACATTTAAGAAGCAAAACCAGTTAAGCACAAAATCCTCAGGCTCTGAAACCTGTAACCATGAAGTTTATTAGCAACCTCTTCTTTGGTCTACGACCAGTTCATCTCTGTCATTTCCAAAAGTAAATCACAAACCTCAGCAAAAAAGGAATCATCTCAGTTATCAGAGTCTGATCTCTGTAGACCACACGGTTAATTTACATTAGAAACTTTTCACAACTAGCGATGACTGTATTTTTATAAGGTATTGTAAAATCAGAGCAGGCATTTATTATTTTATTTTTATTTGTGAAAATAAACATTTAGCTTTCCTGCAGGCTTCCAAGTGCTTTTTCTTCCCAGTGGGACTTCAGTCTATTAAGTTGTCATGTAGTCTCTGAAAGGCTCTCACAGTCAAATGCAGTGTTCTATTAAAAGACGAACGATGTGTTACTTTCCATTGATTTAACAAATTCATTGGTTTCATAGTAACAAAAATGACATAAAAATTAAACCTGCAGGTTTAAAAAGCTGAGAAGGCGAGTGGCCTTGGCTTTGCATCTATTCTTTTTTGGCTATAGGTAATTGTGAGGGTTGTGTGGGCTCTCCAGATTCCCTGACTACTAGCTTATTGGCCTCTCTTTGAATCCTTGAAATCTCCCTGAGCAGTCTTCTTGCTGGGGAGCCAGATCCTAACACCATGAGGAACCGGCAACACACTTGGGTTTTTTGTGTTTTTGATGAAAGACTTCAACAGGATTTGTAGACTGTTAAGTAGATTTTAGGAAGAACCCATTGCAAAATGGTAGATTCTCAGAGAGAAGGGGAGTGACGGGGAGAGAGGTGAAGGGAGAGAGGAAAGGGAGAGGGAAGAGAAAAAGTATCTCTAAGAAAAGAGGGCAAGCACCAAGCTGGCGCTGCACTGACTGTGGTCTCAGGTCATGTTTATCTGATCAACAGAATCTTTCAAGGAACATCCTTTCCCTCAAGGTCACTGTCCTCATGCAAGGAAAATGGTCTGTTTACCTACTTGAAAGAGAAGTAGATCACTGTTTACCTGGAATGTTTCTATTTAGTTTTTAGAGTTTGAGATTTTTCTAGCCTCCTACCTGAACTAGAATGCACCATAGGTCTTACCAGCCTGTTGAGAAGATACTATGTACTCTTGAGGTAAAGTTTGAAATTGCAAACTTGAGTGGATTTAATCTATCACTAATGATTTTGAAAGCAAAGGAAAAAGGAAAAAAACATCCCATTTTCACTTTTCAAGTAGCCAGCCATCACATCACCTGCCTCTGGGTCTATTACTGACTTTCTCACAACTAACAATCTGCTCTCAGGAAAGCAAGTGGTCTATAAGAATCCTTTGCCTGGGGCTGAGACCTGATTTAGATTAGAACTTTTTCTTTCCTTCACAAGTTTCTTATATGATGAAGGCCTCTAAGGGAACTCTGACCGGCTGAAAAGAACACGAAACACATTTTTGAGATATCAACTTTCCAAAGTAACCTCTAAGGAAAATGTCAGTCAGCATAATCACCACAGTTCTCTAAACCTAGGAATAACTTTTGTGTGCTTAAAAAGGCACCAAACTCACACTCAGTGCAGGTGTCTTTGTGACACTGCCTGTGTTTTCGCTTGAAGGTGGTGTACATCTCTCTAGATTTGTTTTACAATAAACTCTGTATCATTCTGCGTGGTAGCCTCTGTGTCTTGCCTGACATTTTTAATCACAGGAAAAAATAACTGAGCACCAAAGAGCCAGGGGCTGGATCCTTGGAATGTTACCATATGGGTTCCTGGTAACATAAGGGCATCAGAGATATAAAGATAAAGATATTCAGAGGAAAGAGAGGAATTTTTCTCCATTTGAGAAATCAGTCAAGGCTTTGGACTAGGGAGCCTCTGAATGGAGCCTAGACATCAACAATGGATTTAGATGCTTGCTTTGGTTTTGGTTTTGTGAGCAGTAGCTCCTTCCTGAGAGCACCCAGGCCATGCAGATGCCATGAACAGACAGCAGGAGCCTGATTTTCTACAAGATTTATGAGCCAGAGCCCTGTCTGCAGGCTGTAGCCCCTATGGCCTTCTCTACTTTCTCTGTTTTTCATCTTGGGTCACAGTCACTGTTCCTACGGCACACGTTTCAACGTCAAGACAGACTTGGTTGGAGTTTGAGCATCGATACTGTGTGACTTCAGGAATATTTTCAACCTCTCTGAATCTCAGTTTTCTTCCTCATGCAAAGAAAAATATAGTCATTGATTATTTTGCTGATATGTAACGATTTAAAGACAGAATATGTACATGCCACTCAGCTTGAAGTACTTACTGGCAGTGCGATAACTATTAGCCTTCCGCTTGGTTTTTGGTTCTCCCAGTACCATGTCCCCTTATTTCTTCTACTCACTTTTGAGTGAGAATCGATTCTTCAGGGTTTTCTGTGATAGGCAAAACGTCTCCCCAAATCTGTTTTTAGTGAGTATTCCTTTAAATCTGCTAGGTTCATGGTTTTTCCCTGTTATTAAAGCTGCTTATTAGTTTTCAGGATTTCCCAGACAGAGAGAGATGGGATGTTGCTGATATTGATGACGATAGAGAGAGAGAGAGAGAGAGAGAGAGAGAGAGAGAGAGAGAGAGAGAGAGAGAGAGAGACAAAGAGAGAACAAGCTATATTTTGCTATTTAATCATCTTAGAACCCTTATTTTTTTAAAAGCTCTACAACACCAAATTTACAGACTATTTCCCTATGAATCTTAGGGGCTGGTCTGGTCTTCATGACTACCTTAAACCTCCATCACTATGGATCCCAGCCCATGCAGCCTCCATGGAGTAGACATGGAGAAGACAAATGCTGTGTTGCAAAATTTCTGACTTGTAAATCTCATCATCTGTGCATTGGTATTGAGTTTCCTGTGAAATAGCAGTGACAGCCAGCCACCCATATGGGCATCACATCAGCATGAAGTTTTAAGAATTGTCATCTTTGTCATTAAGGAACTATTTATTAGATCACTACCACACAAAGCATGCTACCTCCAGATACCATGCTGCTCCAGTGAGCAGCCAGGGCTTGTTGTGAGCTTCACATCTCAGTCTTGTTGCTACTGAACATTGAGGACCCACAAAATGAGGGAGTCACCACAGCTGCCCCCAAGGAGTGTGATGTCTCCCTTTGCATTTTTCACATGGCTCCTGTCATAAACTGTGAAGAGGATTTGAGTTGCTCAGATGATGAAGTAAAACTTTCGTCTTTCATTTGTAGGAGTCACACTTTAAAGTCTATTGAGATAATTTCAAGCTCCACGTTTGTTATATAGAATTTCCAAAGATTTCCTATTGTTATGGTTTGCGTCTTGATACCTGCCCTCCCACAAGTGTTGTGTAGTCTTAGGCTTTTTCAGAGGTGGTTGAATCTTGAGTGTGTGATGTTAGGATTTGTCTTGGTTACTTTTTACTCATCCCTGAGACAAAATATCTGAAGCCCAAAGTTGGGAAAGGAAAGGTTTATTTCTTACAGTTTTTGGAGGTTTCAGTCCACACTTAGTTGGCTCCAAGACAGGCGGGCCTGGCTGGGCTACAGTTCATGGCGGCCACCAACAGCAAGGCGGAACCAGCAAAGAGCCAGACACACCTTCTTCCTGCCATTACATCACATCCTGGCTCCACCCCTATGTGGGTGGAGCACTGACACCATAAATCCAAGCACTAGACAATGAATGAATAACAAATGCACAATTCAAACTCATGAGGCCTGGGGGCCACAGACATAAACCATGACAGGATTAAAGGTATGTGATTACTAAACCAGTCCACTGATTTGTCTGACACTGCCCTAATTCTAGCAGCCTAGATGCAATATATAAGGGACAGAGAGAGTCTTATTTCTGCCCACCTATTGCTTTTCTGTTTTCTGCCACCATGAACTATTGCCTCTTTGCCATGTGCCACTCTGCCTTGGAGCCAGCTGATTATGAACTGAAACCTCTACAAACTGTGAGCTAAATAAATTTGGATATTAAGTATTTTGTCTCAGCATGAGAGAAAAGTAACTAAGACATCTAGGAAGAATTTTGGTGGCCAAGAAAATTGTTTTCCTTTTTGGTTGAAGAACATTATCCTCAAGCTAATTTCCTGCTTAGTGTCCAATATTTGACAGCAGGAAATTGTAACACTCTGAGATCTTGAGGTGATGGTGAAAATGTGTTTAAGAATTTCAGCCTATGTTAATGTATTAAAAACCTAGACCTTATTTGTTATTTTTCTCCCCTCACTTTTGTTCTTATCAGTACCCATTATTGTTATTAAGCACGAATCTCTGCCTGGCATTTTGAGTCAGTTATTGGGTCTCTATTCCTAAGGATCTTTTAACAATAATAACAACAAGTGCAGAATGAAAAACAATGGTAAGAATATAAAATGTCAGTGTCAGTGCGATTATTTAAATATCAGATAGAAATTGTTTAAAACTTCTTGTATATATTTTTAAAATTTCTCACAAAAGGCTTAAGAGAAAGGTACTATTGTCACTTCCATCTCTTCAGGAAGTATATGATGTGGAGTGAAGAATTTGCTTCAAGTCTCATAACTAGTAAATGAGAGCTTATGTTATTAACCACTGTGTTCTACTGCTTTCCATCTAACCAGAAGACCATAGGAGGAACATAGTGTGTGCACTCATGGACCAGAATTGTGAATGTGAGCTTAGTATTTCACACTGGCAGGGTGGGAGGGAGAAAGAAACATGGGTTGTATACATGGGATAGAAATGTCTGCTTTCTTCTACAAAAGAGAGTCTCCACTGTGGAATCTGTACGACTTGAATAAATGGTGAGAAAGAGGCTATAGAAGTTCTATTTTAGAAATGGAAACTGTGTAATGGCTAAAGAGGGAGAAAAGCGGATGAGCTTGTGATTGGTGGGTTCCAGCAATCGATCTGCAGGAAGCAAGTGTGGTCAGTGCATCACAGAGACTTGGCACACGGAGCCAGACTTCCTAGTCTCCTTGTCAGCATCACTGAATAGGAAAAGAAGGAGCAAGATATGGTGCTGGCTGAGGGGCCTCACATGGCACACCAGTAACCTTTTGCATGTCTCAGGAGGCAGGCAAGTTTCAGTCAACCAACAGCCTTGTTGATGCTTTTTATCCTCATGTGGTAACCATGTGCTCTGGCGATGCAGATGTTAGTCTAGGAAGTCAATGAAGTCAGATTCTATTCTGGTTCTTTTCTGGGATAAGTGGCTGGTGAGAAGACACAGTCATTCTGAGTAGCCAAAAATAACTAACAAGACATTTGAATGAGTTAATAAATCTCTTTCACTGAACTGTGGGGGGAG